GGCAGAACCAGTGCTGAGGTGAAAGGTTTATTGTACATACATTTAACTTGTTCCGAATATATATATATATTATTTGAAAACAAGTGAGTGAAGTGTGTGATTTATTGCTAACAAGTCACCTACTGTGGAAGAATCCTAAGCCCAACAACAACATAGTATATATTTATACTATTAACAAATATAACCAAAATCCTTTTTATTTTGACAATTGGCAAAAAGAAGAATATATATTTTTAAATTCTGACACAATGCAATGAAAACTTTGTATTACAAGGCACTCAACATGCATTACAAATTGAGATATAAACCTTGACATTTTCACTCATGGTTTTATTACAACAGAAAAGAAACTATTTACTTCTAAACAAGCACTGTTTATGATAAAACCAGTTGCATAGACTTGTTGAATAAACTTGCAAAATACTTGAACAGAAGTCATTAAATGGGCTATAAACCTTTCATTTATTTTTTAACTTAAAACTAAACTGAATCCACCCTAGTCAAGAATTGATAACTCAAACATAATCAATTACAAACAAGAGAAGTAATGTCCAAGATTGCCAACTATTGTCAATGAATTCTTACTTTGAAAAATATTGTTTATCATTGAGAATTAAGAGCATTTATAGAACAAGTAATCATCTTAATATAGCCCAAAATAACCAATTCAAATAAAAATGTGTAACATAAGAAAAAAGATTATCACTTGCTCCAATGATTAGTGACTTCTTTGAAGATGACAACAGATTATCAGCCAAAATATAGGATATAAACTAGTTAATAATTAGCATCTAATAATAGAAATAAAGGGGGAAAATATAGTATATTATTAATAATTAGATTTAGATGATCATATAGGCTACAAAGCATGCCAATAATTCATATCCAATCAATACGATCTTACCTTAACTCTCTCGCTACAGGCTCAATAACAGGAACCATCTTGAAACCATTTTGTGCTTGTTATAGTTTTCATGATATAACTTTTGTTATAACAGTAAGTGTATCTTAACTAACTTTTGCAGATTATCAGTAAACATTACAAGGCTTTCGTAAACAAAATATTGGATTTTTTAATTAATGATTTGCTCGTACATTTTTTTCTTTTCAAATGTTGACTATCCAACATGCAAAGTAATTTTGATTTTAAGATTATAAATACTTTTATGCATCAGAAAATTGTCAAATTTCACATGCAAATTTCAGATTATCAAGTAAACATTACAAGGCTTTTGTAAACAAAATATTTTAGTTTAGTTTAAATAACTTAAATCTCATTATACATCAATATATATTTCTTATTTTTATTTTATTGACCTTTCAGCCATGCCTGACTAACATTATAGAAGTTGCAATGATGCAGTGCACATGCGCTCATGTTACCATAGCCAAGAATATAAAACTGGCCTTTACAAAGTGACCTGTCTTGGGTGTGTTGTAGTGGAGCAGTATTTTGTAAAATACAATCACACTTCGGTTATAAAATATATATTATATACATTACTATTTACAAACAAGTTCTTAAATTTCAGTTACTTTTCTTAAAACATAGAACAGTAAACAAAGAAGTATAGCAAACATTTATCTTTTCTAGTTACAAACTTTGTACTCATTTGCTGCTTGCTGTAAGTTGCTAAGCCTTATCAACTTTTGCAGGTGGAGGATGTAAAACAAAATATTTTTTTAGGTTTTATACATACATTTTGAAATAACAAAAAATCATAAGTTACTACATCAATACCACAGAATTCTACTACAATTTATCAAGCTTAGTAACTAAGCTATATTTGGGTCTAAAAAATACAATTTTTTGAGCTCACTAATATCTTACCTTACCACTTGGAATCTAGCATGAAAAGAAAGTTTCCTGAGCAAAACTTCACAGAGTCTGAGAAAACCACTTTTGACTGATTATACACACATCATTTGGAGAAGCAGATGTACGTAAGCAAGTATTTTCAAAAACTGAATAGGTGGGTGGGGTTACCTTATTTGATTCAATAAATCAATTAATATCTCAGAAAATAGAAGACAGGAGGTTCTTATCTGATATTCTAGCTTGTTGATATTGGTAATTTCAGTAACTAATTCATAAAAAACTATAGACTTTGTACTTGGACATCACAAACATCTAATTTGAACCAATGCTGCATTCAACATACCACGTGACACACAAAAATTAATATTTAGGAATTCTTTCAATATGTACTTTTGAATTAATAAATTAAGTAATATAGAATACTAAAATTTGAATTACAATCTACAATTTGATACCAAACTTATTGACATACATTCATAAAACAGTAGTTCAATAAAATTTTAATCATGAGTCTATAAACACAATGACATGACCTATGGTTAAGTGCATGAATTTATCACTACTTTTATTATCAATAGACACACAGTAAAAACAAAACAATACAAGACACATAACACTACTAAAACTGGCCCACCATGAATATTTGCCAAAATAGATCAACAGGTTTATACAGTTTAGAATTTATTTTTAAATGTTTCAAATTATACTTGACACACTATAAGTTAGCAAGAGTACTAAATCCTTATCAACATCTACTTCATCACAGTCAGATTCAGCTGAAATAGAATTAAAATACATTTTAAAAGTAATTCATATTGATATAGTATTAGTATTTTAATACATATCCTTACAGAAAAATACAGAAGTCTGTTCCAATCAATTTTTAAGTGTTAAGCACAGATAAATATATATAACTTACAGGATTAATATTTCCTTTTAACTTTCCAAGCTTGTACTGAGATGCCAAGAACTTTAGTGAAAATCCATGTTCTCTACCTGCAAACATATTAAATGCATGTAACTTAACCCTTAATATAAAACTTAACAGTGTATTGATAGAGCATTTTAAAAAGTTATCTTACATATTATTATTCCTAAAGTAAAAATAATAAACACTTCACAATCAATCTTACTGTTTACCTAAAACCTCCACTGCTCATAAAATAAACAAACAGGCCACAATTAGCATTTCACTTTACAGAAAAAGCAAAGCCTAAACAACAGTTAAACAAGAGCAGAAGCACATAAACAATACACACAAACAAACATAAAAACAAAAGTTTACAGATAACCTTGCCAAGCAAGCAGAAATAGCAGAGGCCCAATGAAACATGAAAGAACTGTAAACACCACCAGGAGCTTACAGTAAATAGCATGGCAACAGACAAGCAACAGAAATGTACTCACAAAGCAAGAATGACCAACTGAAAAGATGAGTCAAACATTTCAGGAAGCTCTTACACAGTCCACACCCAACAAAACTTACAGATATTCTTCAAGCAGAACACTCCTTACACATCAACACTAACCAAAGTGGCAAAAGTGAAATTAAGAAAGCCATATAAAAACAAAAGAATGGCAATGCACTGGGAGTCGAAGGTATACTACTGGAAACAATCACAGCAGACCTTACAAATCTAACGAAATGTTATACTAGCTGTTTGAACAGATGTGGGAGGAGGAAGAGGTACCGGATGACTAAAAAGGTTACAAATACTATAGAGGCATCAAGTTACTATATGTACCAGGAAAAGTTCTGAAGAGAATAATCCTAGAAAAGTTAAAGGTGGCATTAGACAAACATATGAAAGACCAACAGGCTGGCTTCCAAAAGGACGGATCCTGTACAGCTCACATAACTACACTATAGATCGTTGTGGAACAGCTGATGGAATGGAACTCGCCCTTTACATATCATTTATTGATTTTCAAAATGCAATTGACAATCTGGAGCATTACACTCTGTGGAAGCTTATGGAATACCATAAAAGTTCATTACCATAGTTCGAAAGATGTACCAATATTCATCATGCAGAGCAGTGCACAAAAGCTACTTCACCAACCCTTCATAGTAAACACAGGAGTTAGGCAAAGTTGTTTGCTGTCACCCTTGCTCTTCACCTGATGATCAACTGGATGATGTGGACTTTGTTGATGACACTGCCCAAATATTACATACATGCCAACAAATGCAGTGCAAGTCTTCTCAGCTAACAACAACATCAGCCTGGATTAGGCTCACTGTTAGCTGGGATAAAACCAAGATGATGTACATCAACAATACCAAAGACAAATCATCCTAGAGGGAAAAGTGCTGAAGGAAATGGACACCTTTACTTACCTGAGAAATGTCATTGGAAAAAATGATGGATAAGACAAATATATCCAAACAAGGATGGGAAAGGCAAGGTCAGCATTTCTAACTCTAAGACCAATCTGGAACTCCAAGGAGTTATCATGAAAAGGCCAAGCTTTGCATCTTCAACATCAATGTTACATCTGTATGGGGAAGAAATATGGAGAACAACAAAGGCAACAAATGACAAACTTCAAGCCCTCATCAACAAGTATTTAAGTACTATCCTAGATGTTCACTGGTCAAACACCATCAGAAATGAGGACCTGTGAGAAAGAACTGAACAGAAAAAAAACAGATGTACATATCAAACAAAGAAAATGGGGTTGGACTGGATACAAAATTAGGAAACCCAAAACCAATATCACCATGATCTCTAAAATGAAACCCTCAGGGTACAAGAAACCATGGCAGGCCTAGGAACAGCTGGAGAAGATAACTGGAGGAAGAGTTAAGGAAATTAGAATACTGTTGGAAAGAACTGGAAAGATTGGCCCTAATCTGAGTCCAGTGGAGAAGATTTGTGGATGACCTATGCTTCCTAAGGAGTGAAAGAATTTAAATTAAGTAAATAATTTACATATTTTCTCAAACAAAATCATATGATTTACCATTAAATACTATGTCTGATGAATGACCCCAATACCACAAGTTTCATCATCATCTGACAAACCACTGTCTTGAATCACATTCACATTGTATTACCCTTAGTCATCATCCACAGCATGCAGTATATTTCACACTAACACACACACACAAGTAAACAGTATTTTACAAATGCAACCTTAATAATTTAAATACTTGGGGAAAACCTTTCTATTTGGACAGGAATTTTACATGCACACTTTCTGTGAGCTCACAACATAAACAAATACAATAGAATGTATTCTAATTGTAATGAGAGTATCACAAGTTTTAAAATTAAACTTCACAATAAATAAAAATGCTTAGTTTCATTTGGCTAACTCATTATACTGTGTAATAAATAAAGAAGGGCTTACCAATTATAAAAACAGTACTACATTACAGTGTTTCAAGATAGACACAGCTGGCATATCAACATAAAATACTAAACATTTAGTATATTCAATCAAGTGGCTGTAAAACAAACAAAAATTATGATATTCCATGGAAAGTAACATCTGAGAATACCCGTAAAGGTCTATTTAAAGCCTAAAATTGGCTATCACTTGTCACAATATCTTGTCTCAGTCTATCTATAGTAGGTTAATGTTATGAGATACAATTAAATAGTATAACTCCAATTTTAAATGGCAGTATCATATGCACTATAAAGACATGCTCAAGTAAAATGAAAACATATATATATATATATATAAGACTGGTTTAACTCCTTAGACCAGAGCAGACAATTTACCCATCACACAGTGACAACATCAGATCATTTATGTCTCTTTGGCTGAAAACTGATCCAAACTATGTTATTAACCATAAAATTAAGAAAATTGAAGTTTTATAAGATATGGCAATAATAATTAAGAAAACAGGAAAATTATTTCAGCAGAATGTCCAAAAAATTACAGGTTTAAAGAGTTAATAAGTATATTAAAATGAAATTTGAGCTAACAATAATCAATTAAGAATTAAACAAGATCAAAGTTGCGGTATTAACAGTAAAATGCAACTTTGAAGGATAATATTTAATGTGAAATATAATGCCAATGATTGACAGGGCAGCATATTAAAAAATAGGGGGGCACAGAATAAATTGCTCAAACCAACATCCTGAATCCTCTCATATTTCTTAGATATCTGTGAATAACTTCAAAACTTTTCTTTCTCTCTGACACAATGTAACTTATGTTTGCTGATATTTGTAACTGAGGATGGACCTAATACAAAATGTGCAAAGTTTGCTAGCTTTAGTATGCTAAAAATTGCTCAGTTTTACAATAAAACAAGTTGTTCATCTTTAATATGAACAAACAATTTATACATAATATCTGAAGTATTAAAATTGCAAGAAATTATTCTCCGTTTTAATCAACACAGTATCAAACTGAACTTATTATCTGCTATATCAATGATAATATCAAAAATATTAATTTTTATGCAATCTTTGTATATTGAATTGGTCATGATATTTTAAAACAGCTTTCAGAATGGCAAACCCAGTAACTTCAAGCTGATCTCACTATCTGGCAGTGTTTTAATACAACTTTAAGAATGGCTAATCTGCTTGATTTAAGCCATCTCATTATCTAATGTTTTACAACAGCTTTCAGAATGGCTTATCCACTCAAATTAACCCCATCTCATTATCTACAGTTTTAAAACAACTTTCAAAATGGCTAATCTGTTCAATTTAATCTTTTAAGTACTGTTGGGTTATACTTGTCTCAGCATATATCCTATGAAAATACTTGGTACATGATGCTTCAAAAATAAGAATAATTAATTTCATTATTGGAGTATTTTTCATTATAAGATGATCTTGTGTTACTTTCACCTAAGAATACATACATAACATGCTCCATAAATAGCTGCTGCGATATATAACTGTTGGGACACATGTTCATAATGAAGATTTCAGAAACAGTACATGAGAAAAATTTCCAAATATGCAGGAAGCATTCCATATGTATCTTGTATCATTTATACTCACTTAACCTGATGACTACCGGTACTAACTTTCTTAGTAGGCAATGCAAGTGTGCATTTGTGAATTGAAAAAATGATAGAGAACTTATCTTTTAATGGATTTCTGATTTTTATAAATAGTAGCATAACATTCAATTATTTGTACAAAATTGTATTCTTTAATGAAGTTTAAAGAGGAATTTAATCCAAAAATTCCTAAAATACGTTTTAGACTGTAAATAAGCACCCTCTAAGAAGAAATGTTTTTTTCAAAAATTTTTTTAAGATATTTTTCTTCAACACTAGAGATTACAGACATATCATACACTATTTATATATAGTTTTCTTCTTGTCAAAAGTTCACTTAGGCCTATTCAATTACTTTAGAATTTCAGTTGACAAGCTGAACTATCTTCTCTGTTACTATCACACTAGTATTCTGTGTGTGATTCACTTAAAATTGTGGTGCAATTTACCATATTCGGTCTTCATTCTTCTGAAGATCCTCAGTTCTTTTTGTCAAAGTGCACTCAGGCTGATTCAGTTACTTTAGAACCATGCTTTGACGGAATAATTCTTCTTCTTATATCCTGTTAGTCTTATTCTAACATATTAAATGTTAGGCCTATCAATTCCATGGTATTTAACTTTTCCTTTTGTAACTTTACTTTCTTCTGCTATTATATGTATGCTGTTTCTGCTCATTTTCACACTATTTATATCTTTATCACTTAATCATTTGTCCGCTTTCTATATTCTCGATGTCAGTGTATTGCACATGACGTTCAATAGTCTCAACATCAATGAATTATTACAAAACTTCCTACAACCATCT